TACCAACAACTTTGACCTTTTGACCTTGACCTTGAAGGTAGACCTACTTTTGAAAAACTTTAACCTTGGCCATAACTTTTGAATGGTTAGTGCTAGGGCTTTCATATTTCACATGTGTATTTCTTGTGAGAAGGCCTTTTCTTGGGCACCATTAATTTTGACCATTTGACCATGACCTTGATGTTTGACTCACTTTTGAAAATCTTTAATCTTTTCCATATCTTTTCAATGGTTGCTGCTAGGGTTTTCATATTTCACAGGTATATTCTTCGAGATAAGACCTTAGTTTGGGTACCAAGATATTTGATTTGCATTTGAGAAAGTTTAACCTTCGTTATAAGTTGCCATACGGGGGCTTCAGTGTTTCACAAACACATCTTGTTTCTGTAGCACTCCTGGCATGGTATAACATTTTTTTCAACATCAGCCATGACCATAACTTGGTCAAACAAAAGTTGCTATAGTCTACATTCAAAGCTCAGTACTTTGAATATTATCAGAAAGTCTTTATTTCCAGCATAAAACATTTTTATTTATTTCACAGATCTTTTCAAAATATTGAATCATCAAAATGTCACAAATAAGTGTTGCACTCCTGACACTTTTAGCATCATTTTTGGATGCAACTTTTTTGTGTCTTGAGATATCAATTTAATATTTGGCAGGTATTTAGAAAATATCTATAGACATATGTTGAGACATAGAAATTTATTCCTTTTGCCTGTATTTTAGGGCAGCTTGATAAATATGTGTTTGGTCATTTTTATGCCCCCGTAATCGAAGATTCGGGGATAGATAGTTTTTGCCCTGTCCGTCCGTCTGTCTGTCTGTCTTTTTGTCTGTTTATCTGCTTGTCTGTTTGTCCGCAAAAACTTTAACATTGTCCGTAACTTTTGATTGGTTGAAGCTATGGCTCTCATATTTCACATGTGTATTCATTGTGACAAGATCTTTCTTTGGGTACCACAATATTTGAACTCTTGACCGTGACCTTGGAGTTTGAACCAATTTTGCAAGAATTTACCAAACTTTAACGTTGGCCATAAGTTTTGAACAGTTGGTGCTTTCATAATTCACATGAGTATTTATTGTGATAAGACCTTCCATGGATATAAATATTTTTTGACCTTTTGATCTTGACCTTTGAGTTTGAACCACTTTTTAAAAACATTAACATTGGACATAACTTTGGAAAGTTATGTCTTCAGGGCCTTCATATTTCACAGGTGTATTTTCTGTGACAAGGCCTTCCTTTGGATACAAACAATTTTGACCTTTTGAACTTGACCTTGGAGTTTGACCTACTTTTGAAAAACTTTAAACTTGACAATAACTTTTGAACAGTTGGTGCTAGGGCTTTAAAATTTTACATGTGTAATTCTTATGACAATGCCTTCCCCGTGGTACCTTTAAGCTGTCCCTTTGACCTTGGAGTTTGACCCACATTTAAAAAACTTTAACCTTGGTCATAACTTTTTAATGGTTAGTGCTTGGGCTTTTATATTTTACAGGTATATTCATTGAAAACAATCCTTTCTTTGGGTTACAGCTTTTTTCATGACCTTGGAGTTTGACTTGCATTTGAGAAACTTCAACCTTTGCCAAAAGCTGTTATACGGGGGCATCAGTGTTTTCACAAACACATCTTGTTTTTTTAATTCTCCCATATAAAAAAGAATAGAAACAATATAGAGGTAGTTTATGCAACATCTATCGTGCCGATTCTCTTTAATTAGAAAGTGTATAAAGTATAGCGACAGTTAAGAACACATCTATCATGCGGATTCTTTGTGCTTCCTACATATAACAAAGTATAAAGACAGTTGATAACACATCTATCGTATGGAGTCTCTGTACTTTCCTTCGAAGTTGTACATATAATAATGTTTACAGACAGTTTATAACACACAGAAATCTCTATCTAGACTGCAGTACATGTACAGGACACAGTTTTATCATTTCAATTGTACTTTCTTTATGAACATTAACAAAATCAGTTTTAAAAAGTAATTATTGCATGTCACAGTGGATTTTAAATATTCCCAAAAACATTTGAATTGTGCACCACAGATCAAAGTTTCAAAACAACGTGAAGATGTGTGTGTAAAATTAATAATATGCAAGTTTACAACATTTGTTTAAGTTTTTAAAGCAGTAAAAATGTACCATTTTATGTTTTCAAATAATGTTCCAGATCAATTTATTATTTCAACATTAGTGAGAACAGAAAAGTCATCCTATTTTGTGTACAACCTTATTCTACTTCATCAGCTAAGGTTGTTGTTCTGTTTTGTTTGTCTGTTTGTTTACTTTTTTGTTTGTTTTAGTTCGTTTATTTGTTTTAATTCTTTTGGAAAAGAAAATAGTAGAAATAGGGTTCATACACATATACATAAAGTAAAATTAATATCAATTACAGAAAGCGTCCATCTACTCTTCTTCTCAGCAGGATGCCTCCCCATCGAAGGCTCAGGTGTGAACAGGTGTGAATAGCTAGGCTTAGGGATTTACAAGGTGCTTAACTGTTTAGGGAATTGTATGGTCTGTGAATGAATAACGGGTTATTCTTCTTTAAATAAAAATCAGCTTTTAAGTTCTAAATATGCATTAAATGCATACAATAAATTGTGCTTTAACATTTTGTTTTCCGTAAGGAAATTACAAAAAGGATGAGCATTTGATGTAAAGCAATTAAATAATCAATATGATTATTGAATCATTATATGATATGATTATGAATATCAGTCAAATATCAATGATGTCCTGTCAACCTATTTGAAGGAGGCAGGGGGTCAAAGAGCTTGGACGACTTTTTCTAACGTTTTATGTTCCACCGATTGCCTGAATTTTTTTTTATGATTTGCCTTTTCATTGCATCTAGTAAGGATACATAATGGTTTTTGTATTAAACCAGGCTGGTATAATTTTACCAAGAGTGAAATGTTAAATTCACTGAATCTTGAAAGTTGATCCCGTGACATGATTTGATTTCCAACACATCAAACAAAAGAGGTGGATCCAGAATTTTCTATGAGATATTTATCGCTCTTTTGTTTTTATTTTGGAATAAGGGATTTGAATTTTACATTTTTTTTTATAGATATAGGTCCTCTAAATGTGATTTTTATTATTTACTGTTATTGTTGAAATAATCCTATTTTAAACACAACTTTAAAAAATCTAAATCAAAATTTATCCTTTCCACCATACATGATTATCTCAAGTGATTTGAGGGAGAGAGAGAGAAAGAGGAAGTAATATGTAACTATTCTAAAAAAAAAACCGTTACGCAATGATGTTCTTTCGTAATTTAAGTCAACAAGAAGATTAAAAAACATGTGATTAAACTATTTAATTTAAAACATGTGACGTGTGAATCACAAGTAATGTAAAAGGACAAGTAATCGATAATAAACGGTACAATGAAGTGTTCGTGTTAAAATATCGTGAAATACGGTCAGGGGAAACCTACGCCAAATATTCATAAAGCAGTATTATCGATACAATTCCTGTCATGTTGTGTTCTAAGTTTGCAAAGAATCGAAGCGGTCCTCATGAACACCCTTCGGCTTTTCCCGTCAACAGAAAAAGTTTTATCACAATAATTGAAAACGCTATCCATACAATATCTATATTTAGCACAAGGAGAATAGATTTAGTGAATGCTTGATTACCTTCAAGATATTTCACGTAAAAATTCTGAAGTTCATTTACTTCGCTTTATTTAGAAGTAAGCGTGAATATTCTAAAAACAAAACAAAAAAATCCACTAAACAGATTTTATGACTATAGATACTTCTTTTAAAAATGAAAAAGAGGACTTGGATATGAAAGGGAGGAATGGAAGTCACTAGCAGTTCCATTATATTTATTATTGTACAGTAGGTCATTGTGTTGTGCAAGATTTCACATATATTTTATATACCGTACTTGTCAACATATTAAAAAAAAATCAGGTAAGATATATTTAATAAAATCTGTCAAGAAATATATCGTTTCAGAACTCAAGAAATTATGTACCCCATGTACCAATATTTTGGTTTGGGTGAATAAATTGAATTTGACGATACGTTAATATATTTAGAAAATTATTGTGAAGGGCTCATTTTGAAAATAATCTAGTAACTTGTCTTGTTAGTTAGAAAATTATGAATGTTTTTATTGATTTTTTTTTCTTCAAAATTTGAGTCAAATGTGTTTTGTGTCATTTATATTTTGAAAGTTAAAAAAGATAATTCAATACTTAGGAAATAATTAATTTATTTTTATTTAAAGCTATAAAGTATCTGAGCTAAAAAAAAAAAAATGCTAATACAAATTGAGTGTAGATATACATGATATAATTTTATTTACGTTCAAATTAAAATTTTCACAGATTTTGAACTTGAACAACCTCGCGTTTCTATAATTAAATTGACTAAGTGTGTCTTTTATTTGAATTAAAATAAATCGATTATTGTTTTTAATTTTTGATATCTTTGAAACGCAGTATTTTTACAGAAGAGTCATATCTTTATACAAAGTAATAAAACAAATAGAAAGATCTTTTTAATTTTGGTTATCTGAATTTAAGCAATATTTTATTCACAGAAGTGAATGGGATGGGAAGCAGGTACCACCTATTTTAGCCGTTTACCTTGAAATGAATGAGCATGTATTAAATGACAGCTCATGCAATGAAATCATATTGGGTGTATATCTACTAAAGTTAAGGTACTAGTAACCTCCAAAAATGTTTTGTTCTCTTACGAAATTACAAAAATATGAGCTTATCTGAGCTTATTTAGCAATTTCAATATTATTAAGTCGTCCATTATTAGGGTTGTTTGAGTACTTTTCGCGAAAAAAATAAAACTCTCCTTTGGATGAGGTGAGTGACCTTCCATAACTATATAGAGAGTATTTCGAAATTCTACCTACCTAATATCGAATTCTGCGATTACCTGCTATATATGCTGAAGTTTGTCATCCATCTGCGTTTAAATTCAAAAACACCCGTCATGGAGATCATTGTACTTCTTGTCGCAGCAACTGCTTTATTTGCACTTTGTAAATTCATTGAAAATTACTTAAGGTCAATTCTGATTAAAAATGAACAAAATAAATGTGTATTGGTGACTGGGTGTGACACAGGATTTGGTCACCGACTCGCCCAGGAATTGGACAAGAGGGGCATTCGGGTTTTCGCTGGCTGTTATACTGAGGATGGAAGAAAAAGACTGATGGAGAAATGCTCATCAAATGCTGTTATTTTCCCTCTAGATGTTACAAAAGAAGACTCCATTCAAAATGCCGTGAATTTGGTCAAATCAGAACTTCAACAAGATGAGGGTAAATATCATTTAAATAAAGTCTGAATTATTTGAAATGTTTCTCTAATTGTTGCAAGTATTTGTTTGTTTTGTATTGTTTTTGTTTTGTTTTGTTTTTTGTTTTTTTTTTTTGGGGGGGGGGGGGGGCGGGGGGTAATTTTTTTTTTATTAAATGCTTTTTCACAGGAGGAAACTGTGACATTCAGTCAACTGAATCCTGGAGAGGTGACGGAATGGCAGAGCTCTCAATAAGTTGATTTTCAGTCACCTTTCAGTTAACTGAATGACATAGTTTCATCCTGTTTCATCCTAAAATTGGTTTTTCTTAAAGAAAAATATTTTGCTAGGTTGCTGTTTCACTAATATTTTTAAATAAAGTTTAAATTTTAAGAAATTTCAGTCTGCAATTTTTCATACCAAATTACCAATATTTTTTTTTTATCAAACTATTTCTGAACATGAACATTGGTAATTAATATATCAACATTTTTTAAATTTATATATTTTAATTCATATCAACTTATTTTTATGTTGATTTATTGAATAAGATTTATTCCAGCAATTTGCAAATTCTTATCGATGACTTTTTATTATACTCTACAAATTATCAAGACAAAAATCCTCCAACCTACCTTCAAAAACCAATTAAGCCATGCAAAAACATTTTTAAAACATTTCTTTCTTTTTTTTTAAAGCACTACTTTATATCTTTTTATCGCTCAAAATCAAAACTTATCCAAAGTTTACTTTGTGTGAAACATAATTTAACTAATTAACGCAAATGTCATATTGTTCTTGAATATATGTAAATCAAATATATAATACAATACCAAAAATACTTGAATGACAGCGAGAAGAAATCCATCAACTCCCATGCTCTTTCCCAATTATATGCATTGTAGCAAAGAAAAAAGTGTAGCCGTCAGTTTTTGCATAAAAAGTACTGTCCAACAAACAAAGACACTGAAATGATGCACATCCCATTATAAATTATCATAATTCTAATTTGAAAGAAAAAAAAATGCACCTATCCCTTTCTAGATCTTATCCACTACACCATGCCAGAAGATAACAACACAGAGTTTAATTCATAGCTTTAATAACTTACATTATGCCTACATATGTATGTTTTACCTTTTATTTTAAACGTTTCAACGTTTCGCAAAAATATGCCACTTTGATACAGATTAGTGACCTGTTATACTTTAGATTAAGAATAATGTACATGTACCTATGGTCCTGTTTCAAGGAGGCAGTTCTTAGGAAGTGTTGAGGAATCCGTAGCAATACCTCGAAATTGAGAGATGAGGTGGCTTTTATCTTATCAAATGCTTTGTATATATCGACACAAATGTTGTAATTTCATGCAAATCAAATTATTTTTGCTTATAGAATTTCAACATTTTAGGGGGAAAAGATTTCTATTCAAAGCACCTTCTATGGCCAAAATCCTTTAATAATCTAAATCAATTAAATCAAATGAAGATACACGATCATTATATTATAAAAGTTTTCACCTTTGTAAATGAGACTTGTAATTGCAATTCATTGATAGTAACAGGTGTTGGTTCTTGGAGACTGGACAATGATAGTCATTACTCTTCTAGAGGGCGATGAGGATATATCTCAGAATAAATATTTACAGGTACCCTTAAGGACAGGTCAGCTATAGTGTCGGTATTAAAAACATCAGGGACTCTATTTAAAATCCGAGCTATTATCTCCTATTGTTACACTCCCTATTTATATCATTACATGTTATTTATAATCTTATGCTGACGTCAATGAACTTTTAAATAGAAAATTGTGCTTTTGTGACTTTTGCTGACCACAGTAATCTGAATTTGCAGCAAATTCTCTATGGGAAACCCACACAGCGATCTACTGTAATGCAAATCGGCTTGCACACACTTAGGGAGCTTACAATGATTAATTTATTCAAAGGTCACAATTAAGTAGTTGAAATAAAGTGCACAGACCTGTATTCAATTAAGGAGTCATGAATTTCTTGACAGTCAACTTTGATCTTTATTTTTGTGATTTATTATGTTGACTGACGATCAAGTCATTCTTTTTTTCTGGGTCAAAAGTTCTGTGTCAAGATGGTGGAAAAATATTTTTGTTCAAATTACTTTGCTTTCTTAAAGATGTCCAAGACCAATCTGTTTTAGGTTTAGTACTGTCAGTCTCTAAACCTTCTGATTAAACAAATTTCCGTATAGTTCGACTTAAATTATATTACATTGAAGGCTGTTAATATTTTCCAAAGATATTGCTTTCCTTTTCTCATAAGAACAGATTTTTATTCATTGAAGACATTTTCTTACTTGATAAACAAAGTGCTTCTTATACCCTTTAACATTACTTACAGTTTTAAACCAAATAAATTTACACTTGAATGTATAAATTACTCGTGCAGTTTTGTGGGGAGTGGTTAACAACGCCGGTATCCTCCACATCGCGGCACCACTGGAGTGGCAGACAAGGGACCACTATGATAAAACTCTAAGCGTCAACTTGATAGGGGCTATGATGATCACGAAAGCCTTTCTCCCTCTTCTAAGAGAGTCCAAAGGTCGCCTGGTCAACATGTCTTCTGTGGCGACCATGGTGTCATTTCCTGGTGTTGTGGCGTATAACATCAGCAAAGCGGCTCTCGAGTCATATACAGACACATTCAGGTATTCGCTGCTTTGTTACTTACTTCATATATAAATTTAATCTAAAATTCTTAGACCAAGAAGAGGTTGTGTATATTTTAAAAAAGAATATAGAAGAGCATAAATTTTGGAGGAATTTTCCTAGAATGGGTTACAAACTACACAGAGGATAAGTACGATCTAGGTTTTTATGTTATATTTCGTATGTTACCTTTGCGTTCTCTTGTTTGAAGGCGTGAGATGTATCATGTGGGTGTAACGGCACATCTGATACAACCAACTGGATTCGCCACCAATATCTTTCCCCAGGATGCAAATCTTCGTCTGCGACAAGCGTTCAGCGAACTTCCAGACAACGTCAAAGAATTCTATGGCGAAAAAACTGTTCATTCAGGTTATATAACATGACCAATTAGGAATGTATCATAATTGCTCTAGTTGAAACCTGAAGAAGCAAATTTGAAATTGAGTCATTTGTTTATATTCTTAATTTAAAAGCACAGATATTTTTTTCAGGTGGGGTTGGACAAGTGAAATCCGACGGATCTTTTGATTCCGATTTGTCCAAGGTAACCACAGCAATTCAGCACGCGCTTTTTGCTAGATTCCCCAAATATAGATATCCTGTGGGGCGGGGATCAGTTGCTCTTTTCTGGACATTAACGCATCTCCCTGAAATCGTGGCCGACAGAATGTTTTCTGTGGCAGCTCCTCGGCACTGATGTGTATAGTTGTATGAACTTTGTCTTGTTTCTATGCCACAATGACAATTTATTATTAACTGTTGTATATCTTTATTAATTGTTATAGTAATATGCAGCTTTTATCACATTCATGCAAGTTATTTTTCTGTACCTGAGATTTCAAGGAATTGTATTCCAACAGATTGCACGGTTCTAGAATTATTTTAACTTTACTTAATAAAAATCAACTGATTATGAACTTAAGCACGCATCGTTAAATAACCCTACATCTCATGAGCTCTTCAGTATACTTTTGGTGTATTATAAAGTTTTTTTTTATCGAAATATGTGTATAAGTAAAGTGCATTTTATAAAAGACTTAATAAAATGTACGTTATGAAGATTATTGACTACTTGCTGTAATTAAGTAAACATCTGAGATTGTACCTTTGTATATTTTTACTACACATTATTCTATTCATATCACCAACCTATTTATACCTGCTGATGGATCCTCTAATTTTGATATACAAACCTGTTAAATGTTTCATATATTGAGTGAAAGGCATTTGGTTTAAATAGAATGCAAGTAATACTGGTTTGTAAGCACGGAGCACTGGTTGGAATTTTTCCCTATCTAATGGCGTTAGAATAAGTACCCCCGAATAAAGCTGCAATAAACATGTGACATAAACCTTGTACAGAGATAACAAATCGTCTGGATTTTTTTTACTGTCTGTAAAATACGATATCATATCTCATGTCGACAGTTCAATTATTTTCCTATACCACAATTCAAATCGCAAATATCTCGTCTGTACCTTTAATTAAATCTTAATAATATTTGGCCATTTATCTCACCGAATTAATATAAATTGATAACACAGTTTCAAATGATAAAAGTACTACCTTGTGATGTAGACCCCCTATATTTTTTTAAATTTTGCGTCGTTTCAACAAAAGACCTACATGTTTGGAGGAAGGACAGTAAAATATTTGGAGATTAATTTTGAATTACGCCTATAACTTCAATTTAATGATTTTTCTTCGATCACACTAATAGTACTAGAAAAATTCAAGCCATAAATTACATGACAAGTATTATAATTTTCAAAATTAGATGACTGTTCAACACAAAAGTGGAATGTTTAACACCAGTATGGTTTGGGAGGACGGGAAGGTAAAAAAATCTAATGCAATAAAACTTATTAACTTTATAATAGGATGGATGAAAAGCGTAAACATTAATATACGAAATATTATCGGATAAATATAATATGAATAGTGAATAATTCAGAACATACATTGTTTCCTTTCAAAACTGAATAGTGCAGCATTTTAGATCTAAAGCAAGTTTTCAGTGAAAATATTTGAACAAATGATACAAGGAAAAAATATTATCTAGTGTTCAGGGTGTATGCATCTATATGGACATAGTTGATCAGATTTTGATCAGGGTCCGGTTTTTTAAAAGGTGGTTAACTCTAACCTGGTGTTAACCTGTTGTTAACTTGTGTGTTAAATTTGACCACATGGTTAAGTGTTTTTCAAAAGTTTGTTAGCATTTAACCATGTGTTAAGGCTTACACTTGCGGGTAGGGGACTAGTATTGCTAAAACAATACTCTCCGAATGTTTGTTTTCACATGTCGTATGTACTTCGAATATCATTTTGCACAAAACTGCCTTAATCTTCCCTGACCTATTTGTAGAAGGGTGACTAGACTTTTGCCTTATTCCAGATCAACGATTTCCCCTAAAACAATAACAAGAACTTAAAAAAAAAATTAAACGTGGTCGAGGGTATAACATCATGGGATAAATTAAACTCTGCATATCAGCAAAATAACCCGTTTAGATGATCATAAAGCTAGGTTGAAAACATTCTCATTCATATTTTGTACCGAATGCATTTATATTTTTAAATGGCAAATCGTGACAAATCTGATGTTGTTTTTTTTTTTACTAGTTAACTTATTGAATTTTAAGAATTCATATGATGAGTAAACGACAATTAATTTTTTTATATTTTGTATACAACCATTTTTCAGGATAAAATGAAAAACTAGGCTTTTTGATACCATAGACAACTTCATCATTAAAAATGGAAGTCGGAATCTTCGCATCTTGTAATTGGTCACCAATTTAATTACTTTGTTAAAAAAAAACCCGTCTGATTCTACACAAATACCCTGAAGTTGATATTAAAAGGATATTGGAGTTCCTCTTTGACAACATTTATGTAATCTTCGGAGTCCAGGTCTTCTAACAAACTGTTGGAATGATAGACACTTATTGTGTTCCTTTATAAGCCGACATTTTTTTATATTCCTATGAAGCAGAATTTATTCAAAAACTTCTATCATGAGACTAAAGAAAACATTTAATATACCGACGACGAATAGTTACTTCCATTCATATGTCGACTCGATATATCCCAGTGAACCTGAAATGAATACACCACAGAGTCTGCTACATCTGTTTTATATTTGAATATTTTACTGATTTTAGATGATAAGGGCCATCTAACAACTGAATTGTATGAGAATCGAGATGACTTCAGTTCTTCCATCGTCAACTTTCCTTATCCATGTAGTATATGTATATCCCACTATCGCCTGTATATGGTGTTAACATCTCCCAACTTATTCGATACTCAAGAGCATGCTCCGAGTACGATCAATTTTTAAACTGAGGCAGACTACTGACAGATAAGTTGATGTAACAGGCATTGCAATTCAACAATCTCGTTTAAAGTCAGCATTTCGTAAAATCTGCGGTCGTTATAATGACCGTGTTAGCAAATATGACCTATCATTGGGTCGTATTTTGGCTGACGTGTTTCATTCCAATTGTTAGGCCTTTGTTTTTTACTGTATTTGACTACGGATAATTCTGTCCATCTGATCGATACATAGGGCTCACGACAGGTGTGACCGGTCAACAAGGGATGCTTACTTCTCCTAAGCACCTGACCCTATCTCTGGAATTTCCTGGAGTGCATGTTTTATGCCCTCTTCAAATATTTGTATTTTTTATAGATTTTTTGAGATTTATCCCTTTTTTTATTTAGGATTTATTTCATAAGGCCATCCCAAGTTTTTTCTATGTTTAACGTCCGCGTGCGCCTTGGTTTTTGACACCCAATGTCAGAAAAAACAAACAGAATCAGGGGCCAAAAATTTATTATTTTGGTCAATTTTTTAAATTTCTGCCGATCTCTCTAAATTATTTGTATATAATATGACATAATTGGAAATTTTAAGTATTTAATACCTCGATTTTGCTGAAGAAAATAAGTTGCTACATGAAAAATAAATTAATGAAATCAAATCCTTTGAATTACGTCATTTTTATGACTATAAAGTCTGTGTTTTATTTTTTGGCTTGTGTGTTTTTTGCGAATAGGTAGCTAGGTTTTTGAAAGGTGGGTGGACGCTAAACAGAGAAAAAACTTGGAATGACCTAATTAGATAATTAGTAAGCGAGATTAAAGACAAAAACAGACTTGTAACTGTGAAATGATCCCATGATCGCCTAGACACACTTTGCAACGGACATACATGTACATCTAATAAACATAAATTTCTGGAATAAGAATTTGAAAGATACCTCATCGACATTATCCAAAAACGAATTTCCAAGACGACAGTTCACTTTAAAAATAAAAACTATGTAAAAAGGTTTTAGCTAAATATTTAAAACCACTTTGAAAGTATGAACATGAGCTCGGAAAAACGGAGTCCCGGGGCTGAACTTTTTTTTCAGAATAATTGGTGCTTTGGCATAAAACCCTTAAAAGAACATTCAATAATTTTGCAATAAATATTTTGTGTGTTACTTTTTTCTTTTGCTTTGTTTCCTACATTATTGATAGATTGTTGACGCATTATTGACAAGAAATTGCTATCAGTTTTCTTGCAGTATATTTTAAAACAAAATTTAAAAACGAAAAAAACGAAATTCTACTATGTACAAGGACAATTTTTTTCTCGGTCAAGTCACGTGCATTCAATGAAAGCAAGGTAAATTACACATTTTGTAAAGTATTTGTGTGTTGTTGTTTTGTTTTTTTTAAATATTTAGTTAACGATTTCGAAATGTTTAATTGTGGGAGGTTTTGGGTGCGCAAAGGTTAGAAATTAAATATTCCAAAACAGATTAACTTTAAAAATAGACGACCCACAAAGCTAAAGATACAAGACAGAAGTTACAGTTATCTGATGAATATTGACAACTAAAGTATGTCAACCTTTAAATAGCCAACAATTAAGATGCTTGATAATATAACTTCATATGAAGACGATATATTCTTTTTTTAATTTAAATCATACAAAGTCTTTCAATGCGACAAATCCTAAATGGCGTTTTGATTTCTTCCCCCCCCCCCCATTTTGATATTTCGAAATGTATTATTTGTTCCACACTCATATTCTCAAATTCATATAAAAGGATACACGTAACAATAGACATCAACATATTTGGTTGTTTTTAAAAAGATTAGACCAGGCAACAAACGAGAATTTAGTAAATAACTTCTAATGAGGTGCTCCAAGCTATTGTGATTTTAAGGGCAAGGTGAAGTGTACTAAGTATTATAGAAGATCGTGTCTAGACTTTTCCCTTTCTGTCTGTAAATACACAAACAGTTCATTCACCTATGAAATAATCAATAATGCAAACAAATATTGCCCGGTTATAGTATACAATATAGTTAAATCGTAATTTCCAGTGTCTAGCCGATATGATAAAACTGATAGCTCTTTTTTTCTGTAATACAAATATATGCATGTAGTAGCATGACAAATATCCTAATACAACAGATACTTTCCACATTTATCCATTTTTGCAATATTTTGTTGTTCAACAAGTTCGATGGGGGGGGGGGGTATTAAATTGTCAAGAATAAAAAAAAAACTATAATACTATTATAATGGGACTCTAGACCAGAGAATCTCGTAGGAAGGTTAAATTCAAAATTTTATTAGAGGACGCATCGCTCATTAAATCCTGCATAAAATTTGATATTTAAGAGGGAGGAAAGAAGATTATCAATTATGGATAAACGATTTTAAAGATCGCTCTTATCAAATTATATAAATTCGCTTGGTAAAACTCAAAGTGGTTACGGCTTTGGTTAGTTAGATATCGAGAACCGTACATAAAGAACACTCGTGCTATACAAATTGCATTATGTTTGTATATGGCAGTTGACTCGATACGCAAGAGCATGCTGTATGTAGGAACAATTTCTAAAAAGAGGCAAGCTATTGAAAAAAAGTTGATGAAACAAGGATATCAACAGTCTCGTTTGAAGTCATCATTTCGCAAGTTTTACAGTCGATACAATGACCTTGTCAGCACATACAACCTGACTAACGTTTTTCATACTAATTGTTAGGCCATTATTCATACACTGAACTGTCTACGGATTTTTCCGGTGTTTTTCCCGATCATGACAAGGAGCACACGGCGGGTGTGACCGGTCGGCTGGGGATGCTCACTCCTCCAAGACACCTGATCCCATCTCTAAAGTTTGAGGTCCGTGTTTGCTCCGCTCCAAATTTGTATCGTTTCATTGGACTTTCGAGATTGAATACTGTTCGTTATCTTCATATTTCATATGTACCAAACTTAACGATTTAAAATGTATGATGTGTTGAAGGACCGACCGAAGAAATTTTTAAAGAGAATGTGTTAAGTGAAAGTGTCTTGATGTCATTATAACTCAAAAATAAACTGGTGAAAAGAAAAACAAATCTTCCTAGATGTTCATGTTCTGCTTGGAAATATTTGACCCATTTTAAGTATGTTTGAAAATACATATACACTATACACCATCATGATGGACAATCTTTGAGTGATTAAATTTTACATAACTTATAAGTCAATAAATTCTTAGAGAAACTGCTATAACGCACATTTGTTTTCCCAAACAAGTCGCCGAAATTTTTTCTTGCTAATTTTTAACGGTAATTGTTCACTGCTTTTCGATCGCTTATGTATTAAGTGCACCAAACTTACTCCTCATCCATTACCTGCTTCGTTCCTCTTATTAATGTTTCAGGGTCCATGTTTTATGCTAATTCTGCTGTACATTTAATTGAAAACTTGTATTAACTGTTGTATGAAATGTGAATATAATAAGCAGTTACCATTCTCAAACGCCCAATTTGACAGTACAAATTCCGAGCAGAACAAATACGGGTCCCTGAAAATCAGAGTTGGGATTAGGTGCCATGAGGAGTAAACACCCCCTCTCGATCAGCCAAACCAATCCTTATAGAATTCAGTTTCAGTTCAGTTACAAGATATCAGTCAACATTTGACATAACGAAATATTGTATTTGCAATGAAATGTATGGAGATAACGAACAGTATTCAAGCTCAAAAGTCCATTAAGCAATACAAATTTTGGGGCAAAGCAAACACGGACTTCGAAAACATCAGAGGTGGGATGAGGTGCCATGGAGAAGTGAGCATCCCCTGTCGACCGGTGACACCCGCCGTGTGCTCCTTGTCATGATCAGGAAATAACGGAAAAATCCGTCGACAATTCAGTGTGTAAATAATGGCCTAATAATTATTATGAAAAACGTCAGTCAGCATTTGACTTATTGAAAGGTTGTATTTGCTGACAAGGTCATTGCATTGACCATAGAACTTACGAAATGACGACTTTAAACGAGACTAGTGATATTCTTAATTCATCAACTTGTTTGTCAATAACTTATCTCGTTTTAGAAATTGTTCATACGTAGAGCATGCTCTTGCGTATCGAATCAACTGAGAGATACAAACCCCGTATACTGGTGATGAAGGTATATTGCTGCATAAGTAAGGGAAGTTGACGATTGAAAAGTTAAAGTCATCACGTTTATCATAAAGCTTAGTTGTTAGATTACAATTAACGTCTTTTTCTAGTAAAATATCCAAATATGAAGCAGATCTGTCAGACTCTGTCGTGTCTTTTATTTCAAGCTCACTGGGATATATTGTATCGATATAAGAATGGAAATACCTTTGTTAATTGACAATACGTCGTCGATACATCTAAATGTTGAGTTGAAGGCCACAGCAAGTGTTTTCTTCTTTTCACCTATGAGATTTTGAACAAATTCTGCTTCATATGAAAACAAAAATAGGTCTGCTAATAACGGGCGCAATTGGTACCCATGGGAATTCCAATAGATTGTTGGAAGACCTGGTCTCCAAAAACCACATAGATATTGTCAATCAGAAACTTAAGCGTCTTTTTAATATCAACTTCAGAGTACATGTGTGTACAATCAGAATATTTTATTAACAATTTGAAAATAATTTTGCAATTGACCAATGACAAGGTAAGTAAATTTACGAGTTCCATTTTTATTGACAAAGCAGCTGTCAATGATATCAAAAAGCCTGGACTTTAATTTATCGTTGGGAATGGTTGTATATAAAGTTGAAAAGTCGTAAGTTTTTATGTTGTTGACTTGGGTAAAATTTTGTGATTTCAAATTTTCCAAAAGGTCCTTGGAATTTTTAAGTATCCACGTCTCGAATATATTGTTGCATAGCACTCCAGAAGTTTCTCCTTCACTACTGTTCATATTTTAGTGAGGAGTAAAGAAAGAGGCTTGGTAGAACATTTACTGGAACCCGCTATGTTTCTTTGTTTGTAAGGATTTTTATGAAGTTTCGGAGTCCAATATAGATATGGTAATTCAAATTCATGTTGGTTGTTGGGAATATCAAAAATAATCAAAAGTGACATATGATTTTGAAGAATTTCTTTCTTAGAAAGGGAGCTATGGTTAAAAGTTGGATTACCACTTGTTCTAAAATACAATTTAAATAATGAGCCTTACAACCAAGACAATGTTGTTACCTCCTTTGTCAGCAGGGACCAGTACATACTGATCGTGTAATCTTTTCTTCTGAATTACTGAACACAGAAGGATAGTTGGTTTTCATTTTGCCCCTCAATCGCTTATAGTGAGGTCATTGTATCAACCACAGAATTTGCCAAGTGTTGATTCTAAACGAGATTGTTGATATCTTTTTGTGCGCAATAAATATTCGCTTTTTTCAGTGAGTGGCACTGAAGCTCTCTGGTCGTCCATACCAATTTTTAGACTAGCGAGTTACAGATCGCAGCTAAAGTTGTTAGAGCATAATAGTTGCAAAGAGAGTATACGTCTAACAATGACCAATCTTGGATGATATCACTAATTATTGATACTTTGCTTCAGATGCAGCAGTAAATAGGACATTTAATTTCTGAAGTTGTTATAATACCTACATTGACCTCACTTGCATATCTATAGAATCTAAAATTATTTATTATTCTTCTGATGCTGCAAGTGAGATAAGGATCAGGTTAAAAAATCTGAAAGGGGTTTATTCCCAGGTAATTAAAAGCTCAACAATGACAAAACTTGGGAAGATTTTGCAATGGGAATATATACCACTCATGTTTTAAATTAAAATAAGTTATGTCGTTCATATTACAGCTGAAGTATCAGTGTCGTTTTCTCTACGCTGGCGTCGGTTTTCCGTCATACTTGTTGGTAAGTCGTCGTTATCCCCTTTTGCAATAGAAACAAGACTGGTATACCTTTACGAGTGAAGTACTAAAAAACACCATTCTTCAAAATACTGGTAAGTAGAAATTACACAGCCTTTCGTAAGGTTAAGTTCAAAATCGTCGTTAATAACTCTGTATGCCAGTAAAAGCCTAGAAAATATCCGCATACGGTAGAAATATATATTTTATATTTTTGTTCCAGAAATATTTTTGCACAGGGGTGAGGATCAGATCAAAATCCGAATCTGTATTCCGAAGGGACAGCTACATCACATAACACATTATTATTCATCACGCACCTTGAACTTACAAAATGCAAACAATTACTTATAAATATCTAGAGTAGTAAGTAATTTGAATCATTTTACTTTGTTTGTTACCTGTGATTTTGTGTTATCATCTAACATGGACTTACTAACACTGTTAGGGGGGCTGGTTGTGATATTGTGTATCTTAAAGTCGGTGGAGCTTTATATGCGAACAATTTTCTTAGACACAAAGAATAAGTGTGTTTTGGTAACAGGTTGTGATACGGGATTCGGGCACCTGCTAGCACAGGAGCTGGACAAGAGAGGAATCCGTGTTTTTGCTTCCTGCTTAACTGAAGAAGGAGAGAAAAGGCTACTTGAGAAATGTTCCTCCAAAGCCGTCGTTTTCCGTCTCGATGTCACAAAAGAAGAATCCATTCAAAATGCAGTTTACCTGGTAAAGGCTAAACTCGCTGGAGATGAAGGTATAAGTTTTATGGAAATATTAAAACTTGATACATTTGAATCTCTGGTTACTTCTTTGATATGATTTTTTTTTTAAAATTGAAATTACAAAATGTTAGATGAAATATTGTTACATTTGTAATTTTTACTTCTAATATTTGGACGCTGTTGTCCTTCTGGCTTAGTTCTATTCCTAGAAAAGATTCCCTAAGAATAGTATACTCATAAAGCAGAGAAGTACTGGAATGTAGAACATGATAACCTTTAAGAATGTAATTTATCTAATTAAAAAGACCATTACTGAAGGCAAGGTTCCTATATGTTTAATTGTTTTTAAAAACCTTACGGTTAAGGTCGCTGTATTTACATTCTATGGCAGATAATGTTGAAAGTTATTATAAGCTAGAAAAAAAATTATTCCTTATCTTCGTAAACCGATATCTCTTTAACAAAATCAAATTATTGAGCTATACAAGCTATGTAAGTATTCATTGAAAGGTATAGATACACAGTTTCTTAGAAGGTCATAAGTTTTAAAAGGAGAGACTTGCGACTTTAAATATAAAATAATTATACTTTCTGACAAACACTAGAGCTATATATGAAATGCAGTTCAAGAGATTTGAAAGTCTATTGGAGAAAAACTGCTACCACGTGTCTTAATTGCTGCATTCCCCCTCAAAATTGTTTGAGTAAATTAGACTCCATCGACAGCTGGACTTCTCGAGAAAAAAAAAATTTCAATCTCTCGAAAGTGGTCATCATATCAGATATCACACATAGATATCACCAGAACCACATTACAGATAGGAAATGCATGTAGAAGCTAAGTGGCCGTTTTATAGTAATTTATCAATGTACAACGTCCCATATGAGGGTTCCTTTGTCCTGTTTTTCACAGTGCTCTGGGGTTTGGTCAACAACGCAGGTGTCATTTTACTGGCGGCACCGTTAGAATGGCAAACTAAAGAACAGTACGAGAAAACTCTGGCTGTCAATCTTTTTGGTGTCATCGAAATGACAAGGGCTTTCCTCCCTCTACTCCGGAAGTCTAAGGGGAGGGTTGTCAACATGTCTTCCATTGCTTCCATGTTGGCCATTCCAAAACTAGCGCCATACAACATCAGTAAAGCTGCTATAGAATCGTACACCGACACTTTAAGGTAACCAAGATATCCTTCTAAACACGAACGTCGAACGTAACGTTTGAATGCCTAATCATAGATGTATTTCTGCGTAACTAACGAACAATTCATATGTGTATGATTTATCTAACTGTAGAAGAGAGATGTATAATATAGGGGTGACGGCTCATCTCATACAACCAAGTGGATTTACAACAAACGTCTTCCCAGCGGACGCCACTGAACGTCTACGTAAAGCGTTTGACGAACTTCCACAGGAGGTCAAGGAGTTCTACGGAGAGAAAAGCGCTAATATGGGTGATTGATTATCGCTGTTCATGATGAAAAAAATTATACTGATCATAAGCAAAATAAATATGGGGAGTTAATAGATTTTGATTTGAAATCAATAAATATATATGATATTTTAACTTTCAATTGTAATGTCATAAAACTCATTAAATACTCATCTTATTTTCGGCATGCTCAATTTTTATATGACTGGTACGTTTTAGCAGACTAGCTCTTACATGTCGTGTTTAATTCACTGGCTCGTATAAAGCCTAGTTGTTCATTTTGGGAAGGGGGAGGTAAGTTGTTTTTTTTTTTACAAGTTAAATATGATGACACTATATTCAGTAAGTGAAAATTATATGTTAACATTTTTAAAATTCTACGTCATTTTTGGGGAAAGTGGGAAGGAGTTTTAAAGCCACTTTAAAGATTATATATTAATATTCTCACCACGTGATATTATGATTGTAAAACGACTTAGCCTTAATTATAATATTTTACAGGGCACACTGATATCGTGAAAGCTCGAGTCACTCTGGATCCCGACTTAACCAAAGTGACAAGGGTTATACAACACGCCTTGTTTGCGCGCTATCCAAGGTACAGATATCCTGTTGGAAAAGGAGCTGTCTCGATATTCTGGACTTTTTCTCATTTTCCTGAAATAATTCCGGACAAACTCCTCGCGATATCAGCTCCATGAGCACAATCATTGTACATCATTTGGCAGCTTAATATCTGTGTTGTTTTATAATCTGGATGGACACAGAACAGTAATGACTACAGCAGAGTGACACATTTTCCCATACAAAGTTGTATTCTGTTTTCATTGATTAGTCATAAGTGTGTATATGTGTTTATGTAATTGTGAACCTTGATTGATTAAACAAACAATACTCATTTTTCCACACATAGAAAAAAAAAAATATTTCTGAATAATTCTGATATTGGAATAATATAAATGACTTTAACAGTTGTTTAATTTAAATTATGACAAAGAAGTGAAAAATAAGGATATATATATATATATATATATATATATATATATATATATATATATATATATATATATATATATATATATATATATATATATATATGTGCACACTTTATGTACATTGTAAACTGGAAGACTAAACGGCGTGCTCTTACGAATCATTTCAAATTCAATCTCCTTGTTTATAATAACAGTTAAACTTATTAAAATGTTAACAGAAAAAGATGAATGTAAAAGTCATACATGTACATTCCCCGTAGAAAGTGTAACTTTACAGTGAAAAGGGAAGTTTTGTAAACAAATTGTACTATTGACACAAGGATTTACACTTTTTTAAAGGTATAATTCTGCATATAGCATATACTTCTCATAGGAATCCTCACAGGTGTATTTCAGAAGTCGTCATGGTTTCAGCTTTCATTTTTATTACATTCTTAAAGGTTATCATGTTCAAAGGTTGTCGAATGTGTGTGCACATCAATATCAATTCCCAACCTTGAAAACAGCTTTCTATGTATATTGTGTTTCAAGGTGAGGCAATCCTAAAGTATTTTTAATTTTGTAAAACCATGCTGCACTGGTTTGAATTGAAAATATTCCATTCATTCCCATCTTCAAACATTTCTTTTTTTAATCTTATTATACACCTATAAATACAGCAGGCGTGCGTATAGTATCAATAAGTCACCCTCATTCGATGCTTTAACCTACAAGCAACATTCAAGTCTAAAGACTTTATTAATTAGCTGAAGTAGAAAGCCAATAGTTTTTTTTTTTTTCGCCTAGTTACCCTCACAAAAATTTACTATAGTTAACTATAGTAAATACTATGATACTTGATTTTCTTTAGAACTTTAGAGCCTTAATATTTCTTAAAATACATATCAATGATGCAAATTTTTGAAATTATAAATATGTAAATTTCGAGTATTATTTCCTTTTAATATAAAAATTGATCAACTATAGTAAAAACTTTGATTCACTATAGTGAAAACTTTGATACTATAGTAAACTATAATTAACTATAGTATTAATCGAAGATTCGGGGGTATATAGTTTTGGCCCTGTCCGTCCGTCTGTCTGTCTAGCTGTCTGTTTGTCCGCAAAAACATTAACCTTTCCCATAACTTTTGATTGGTTGGAGCTATGGCTCTCATATTTCACATGTTTATTTCTTGTGACAAGACCTTTCTTTGGGTTCCATCATATCTGACCTTTTGACCTTGACCTTGGAGTTTGACCCACTTCTGCAAAATTTTATGAGACTTTAACCTTGGCCATAACTTTTGAACAGTTGAAGCTTGGGCTTTCATACTTCACAAGTATATTTCTTGTGACAAGACCTTTCTTTGGATACCAACATCTTTGACCCTTTGACGTTGACCTTGGAGTTTGACCTACTGTTGACAAAACTTTAACCTTGGCCATAACTTTTGAACAGTTTGTGTTAGTTCTATCATACTTTGCATGTGTACTCCTTGTGAAAAGACCTTTCTTTGGAAACCAACAACTTTGACCCTTTTGACCTCGACCTTGGAGTTTGACCTACTTCAATTTTGAGAAATTTTAACCTTAGCCATAACTTTTGAACAGTTAGTGCTGGGGTTTTCGTACTTCACATATGCATTTTTTATGAGAAGACCTATCTTTAGATACCAACAACTTTGATCCTTTGACCTTGGAGTTTGACCTACTTTTGAAAAACTTTACCCTTGGCCATAACTTTTGAACAATTGGTGTTAGGGCTTTCATACTTCACACATGCATTTCTTGTGTGAGACCTTTCTTTAGATACCAACAACTTTGATCCTTTGACCTTGGAGTTTGACCTACTTTTGAAAAACTTTACCCTTGGCCATAACTTTTGAACAATTGGTGTTAGGGCTTTCATACTTCACACATGCATTTCTTGTGTGATACCTTTCTTTAGATACAACAACTTTGACCCTTTGAACTTGATCTTGAAGTTTGACCTACTTCTGAAAAACTTTAACCTTGGCCATAACTTTTGAACAGTTGGTATTAGGAGTTTCATACTTCACATGTATATTCCTTGTGACAAGACCTTCTTTTGGATAACGACAATTTTGGCATTGACCTTGACCTTGGAGTTTGACCTACTTTTAAAAAAATTGAACATTGGCCATAACATTTGAACGTTTGGTTCTAGGGCTTTCACATTTCACAATCATGTGTACCACTTGTGACAAGACCTTCCCTTGGGCACGATTTCACTTTGACCTTGTCGTTTTACTTACTTTGAAAAAAAACTTTAACCTTCGCCATAACTTTTCAACGGTTTGTACTAGGGCTTTTGTGTTTCACGGGTATATTCCTCGAGACAAGACCTTTCTTTGGGTACCAACATTTTTGATTTCTTGACCTGGAGTTTGACTTCCATTTGAGAAACTTTAATCTTCGCCATAAGCTGCCATATGGGGGCATCAGTGTTTCACAAACACATCTTGTTTTTGTTAGAGTAGGTACTAAATGGATACTGTTCTAGAAAATGTGTGATTTTTTTTGTTAGTTGAATTTATGTTCAGTCTACTAGGCTTTCAGAAACTATGGGCAATAATTCTGTATTGATTAAAGCAAATTGACAAAAATGACCACTGTTCCACATTGAGCCGATTTCCTAAAAAGTGTACCCTGACAATCATATTCATGTACTTGGTGTATTCGTCCGCTGAAAAAAAACTATTGAACATACTGTAGATTGGCAAATAATCACGATGGTTTTAATTTCACTATGTTCGAATTCGCGATTCATCATTTTTCCGCGAAATTAAACCCATAGTGAATGCTACCATTAGTTTTTAAAAACGTTTAAATGTTTATACAAAATTTGAAATTATTTTCTTGCAGCATGAAATTAAAACCATCGCGATTGGTACTTTTTCAGAAATTTTAACACAGTGGAATTAAAACGACTTACAGTATATAAATTCTAGATAAAAGTGTTTTCCCCTGGTTTTATAATGAAGCGTGTTGAAGCGTTTAAATTGACAAAGTGCTACACTCTTGAAGCTGCATGATTTCGATGTCTGGTGGGTGTATATTCGGCTTAATCATAAATGATAATGGGGGGGAGGGGCATACTTATGAGTACATATTGTCAAGTTCAAATGATGAGATCACGTCATTTGAATTACATACACTATGTGTAGTTCTATAAATACATTTAAACTTGATCAGTCATCCCCATTTGTACTTCACGATTTGGACTGTAAACTCCAAAAATTTCTCATTGTAGTACATAGCTTGGTTATTAAAAACAGCATCAGGTATATATGTGAAAATTTTCAATCATATGACTTTGGTAAAACGTTTTGATCCAAACTGATTATCCCATACAAGATTATGCTAGTTTCAATAATAATACCTACACAGAAATATCCTTAATAAATAAGTTGTTATAATCGTAAGTTTTTATGGGCGTCAATGGAAATATTAGGGGGAAATCATCACAATAGGACCGTGAAATCTCTCATTCTGTACGTACACCTTCTAAAATTATACAGAAATCGGGTCACAAACAGGAACGAAAATCAAGGCCATGTGTAATAAAGGACAAATATACCCAACAAAATTGATGAAATTATTTCAAAATATACTATGTGTGGGAGGCTTAAATATGAAAAAAGTCATCTTTTCAAATAAAATGCACGGACATAATGCCAACCAGAATGTGTTTAGTAAGAGATAACATCTCTAACTAATTTCATAGTGGTTTCAAAATATATAATGGTGCAAAAATATTCCGTACATATAAAACTCAGATGACATTTAAAATCTTAGTATATTGTTCATGATTCTCAACTGTGACTCCATTTTCTACAACTATATACCAGTATGCCAGTCAAAGAAAAGAACCATGGACAATGTGTTTCACATCAATAAAAACACGATGTACACCCTTAAATAGAAGAAGCTAGAGTTTCTCATCAGTCGTCATGGTCTTGACTTCATTTTTTTTTTCATTCTTGAAGGTTATAGTTAAAAATTCTCATGATCTCCAAATGTCAATGTTCATCAATATTAAACTTTAAAGGGACTTAGACACAAAAATGTTTACATCCTTTAAAAATTTGTTTATGTCCCTTTAAGTCCAAACCTTGCCTACATCTTTTTACGTGTCATATTCTAAAATGTCTAACTTTTTTTCGAAAAACTTGCGGCATTGGTTGGAATTGAAACTGATTCCATTCTTTCCAAGCTAAGGACATTTCTTTGATCCTGTACATTTAAATGGCAAACCCTGAAAGGTATTTCTGTAATACATGTGGAAATACACAGGTATGGGTAAAATATCAAAGTCACTCTTTCCATGCTTAAATCTACAAACAACAAGCAAGTCTAAGGCCTTTATCAATACAGCTGATTTTTTTATCGTGAAAAGATAGTGTTCTACGCCATAATTATGTTAGAGGTATATGGGCTAATCTAAGTAAGATTGAACATGAACACATCTCTATGATTAATATTAGTTTACTTTGTATATGCCAATGAAAGTAAAAAAAAAACAAGTCTGCATAACTACCAACTGTAGCTTTTTTTTGTCAATTACATGTATGTGTCCCGTCTTAATACATAATGTAATAAGACTGAACACATACATGTAATAGATAGCACATTCAATGATACATCTTGAACTTGATAAAATATTTGCTTTTTTGTTCAAGTATGTTAGCTTCTAACATGGAATTACTAACACTTTGTGGATGCTTGATTGCGATATTGCTGATTTTAAAATTAGTAGAATTGTATATGCGTACAATTTTAATAGACACAAAGAATAAGTGTGTTTTGGTAACAGGCTGTGATACAGGATTCGGGCACCTGCTAGCACAGGAGCTGGACAAGAGAGGAATCCGTGTTTTGCTTCCTGTTTAACAGAAGT